AGGTACAGATCTTTCATAAATGCTGGATCGACAGAAACATGTGGCAAAAATATATTGTTACAAGTCAAGCCACCAATTACTTGATCGAGTATTTTATAGATACTAAAATACGAATACGAACTCAAATTATTACAGTAATCGCCAGAATCACGATTAATATCGAATTTAACGAATTGTAATTCACTCTTCTGACTCGAAACTTTTTATAGTTAATAACTCGGGGAATTAATTGTATTGATAGAGAAATCTACTGTTCGTAAATAATAGTGGATTGGATGGAAACGAAACTTTGAGAGCGAACGAGTCAGTAAATTGACGACGAAAGTTAGTAAACGAGAAATTGTCATTTAATAAATATTATTCGTTTCTGTACGTCTCGATCTATCGACGAAACGCGAGGGGAGCCACTTTCTTTGCCAATTATGCAACGTGCAATCGAAAATATAACATGGATCCACGCAATATGGCCGCGGATAAAAGTCGAGTAAGAAGCACATTGCGCTTTCTAGGCGATCTCTTTGATTCTTCGCCAATTAGTCTCTCGAAACAACAGGGGGCGGGAAAAAAAGGAGAATAATCAACGAAAGTGAGATGGAATAATCAAAAAGAGAGATGGAAACACGTCAGAGAACGTTCTATAAATATCTAATTTCCACCTCACGCCTTCGTATCTCTCTTTTGCAACACCGTTATACGTTCGCGTGTTGCCTTGCAAAATGATCAATGAAATCTCAATCGTTAGTACTGGACGTGGAAATCACGCACTCCCATAATCAGGCAACAGAATAACTTTTCCATTATTTTTATAAATTTTATTATTAAACTCTGAGTTGATGCTATTTCGTTAGAAATAGACGGACTGTGCAAATTCAATACAATAGAAAGAAAAATGAAATTCAAGTAGAGATTTTTTTTAAAATATTAAATTCAAAATAATGATTATTAAATGTTGAAGTTAATTGTACGGTCTCTCGTGTACTGTTACATTTTTAAAATTCTCGTAAGTGGCATGGAGGATTTACATACTTGTTAAAAATTATAATACTTCGAGAGATATTTCTTTGTCCCGCGTAATAATTCTCACCAGCCTGGGGCTACGTCGCACTTTTTCAACGCCATGATCAACAGGATACGCGACACTTGTCACACTTTCTTTTCGTAATTTCGTGACCAAGGGGCCAGGAACTGTTCCCCAGTTGCTTAATTAAAAGTTTAATTGACCCTTGAGATCCCACTTTCCTGTTGCTTTCGAGTTTTAAAATAAAATACAGACTTCTATGTGCAAGTACGAATTTGTGATTTTGCAATAATCACGCATTGTGGTGACACAGCGTGAAACGCTTTCGGAATATTTTACAATTAAATATATGCTCAAACGGTTACCGTATAAATTATGTATAATTTCTTAAGGAAATATCTCTTTTCGCCTAGAAATATACTCTTTTATCATTTCCCTGTGAGAATGATTCCAGATTGTTATAACTAACAAGTTCTGGAATGCGTGAAATCTTACGATACAAGTGAAAGCTAAAGGTATTTATAACTCAATCGAAAACTATAAACTTTTTACTACGTAGAAAAAGTTACATATCATTGTACCGTACATGCTGGAAAAATTGTCATACTTCGTGTATAAAATGATCGTTAATGAAACTATTTAATTAAACACTATTAAAACAATGAACTCGAAGAATGAAATTCCTGGTAATATAGAACATTTGCACACGCCTGATATAAATAGGATTGTAACATCCATCGTGGAAATGAAAGAGAAGACAAAATCCTTATACATAACTATTAAATACAAACTATTTAATTAAACACTATTAAAACAATGAACTCGAAGAATGAAATTCCTGGTAATATAGAACATTTGCACACGCCTGATATAAATAGGATTGTAACATCCATCGTAGAAATGAAAGAGAAGACAAAATCCCTATGCATATTCATAGATAAATGAGGAATCTTCTGTACAAAGATCCTAAACAAACCAAGTGTAATTTGATGTAACTCGACCAAGCCGATATATCTGTACGCTGCAAACAACGAGCATTTCCATAATTCATTCGGTTCATCGCCTTTCACCGACGATGTATAAATCGTCGGACGCATTGCCGAGCAGTTCCGAAGTGGAAACAGCTGTTATCGTGATGGCAAGGCTCGGTCGGAAGCGATCGGATCATTCACGAAATTACGAAACACCTCGTGGCTTCGACGTACAATAGAAAGCCAACAACAGTCACGCCAGAGAAAACGTTTCCCCTCCGCCGAAAGAAGGAAAGAAAGAAAGAAAGGAAGAAACGGGTCACGTACTCTCTCGCCGCGGGACCAACGATTTCCAACCGATTGGAATTCGCCTTGTCACGCGTGGACCAACGCAACCGTTAAGAAATCACTTACACGAGACAACGCGAACGATAATAATAAATAATAAAGATGGAACATTCGTCTCGAAAGCACAGCATCCTCGGTCCCACACTTTCT